TTATTTCAAATTATATTAGTTACAGCTTAAGTTTTTAAGTTATTTGTATTACTGACTATAAATATTTCTGTAACGATAGTTTATAGGTTAGTTGGTTTCTGATTTTGAAAGATGGCCGACGCTGTTGATCCTGACGAACGAGTTAACTTATCCTTTAATCTTAATTGCAAACATATCCATCTGCATTTGTGAAAATCCAAGAATTTGTCTTTTAACCTGGATCGAAGCGACAAGGAAGCAAACAAACGTGCGGAAGATAGACAAAGCAGAGGTTTTGGAAGTATCTCGCAGATATATCGAGTCGAGGCACGGTTTAACCGGGCCGTGTGTGTACGGACGTTTACGTATCACGTTATTGGACAAAAGTTGCACCATCGGTTTTAGACGTGACGCGATCTGATTTATCGCCCGGCGCGGATTTTTCGGTACAAGAGGGAGAAACTACGAGACGGGCCATTTTTCTCAGGCTGCAGCTGGATAACGTGCTACTCTATCCCTTCCTCTGTCTCTTCGCCTCCCCCCTTTTCACCGTTTCTCTCGTTCTCCCGTTTCGCGCTATTCTTCCCCGTTCCCCGTCCTGTCCGGCCAAATATATAAACTCCATACGTTCGCGGAGGCCGTCGATGGCGCCATCTACTCGTCGTTGCTGCATCCAGCACAAAAAAAAATTGGTAACGTATTATGGAAGTTATCGAGTACGCGGATCTTGGTTGCGAACGATTCGATCAGAATCGTGGGGGCAGATTCGTTCTGAGTAATTGATACCATTATCGGTGCGATATTAAAGTTTCATATTGGTATTTGTCGACGTGGATGTCTGCAGTAACGTTCACGGGCGACTTTTTGTGTTTATTGGAATGAATCCCACGTTATATGAAACTTAACGTGAAATTCACGTTAACTGAACTGAGGGATAATCAAATTTTTAAGTCCAATTGTAAATTAGGTTATCCTTGAAAAAATTTGGTCTGAATTTAATTTGATCATACGATGTAATCTTAATCTAATCTAACCTCTGTGTAATTTAATCTTAATCTGATCTAACCTTAACATAACAACCTTAATATAAATTAACCTTAATATAACTAAACCCTAATGTCATCTAACTTTAATGTAACAACTCTAATACAATCTAACCTTAACATAACTAAACTCTAATTTAATCTAACTTCGATGTAACTCAATCCTAAACTAACCTAGCCTCAACGTAAGTGCATCTTAATTTAGCCTAACCTCAACATAACAAAACCTTAATCTAACCTAACCTTAATATAATAACCTTAATATAAATTAACCTCAACATAACTAAACCTTAATGTAATCTAACTTTGATGTAATAACTTTAATATAAACTAACCTTTTCGTAACTAAACCTTAATTTAATCTAACCTCAACGTAACTGAGCCTTAAACTAACATAATCTTAATATTACGCAACCTTAATCTAATCTAACCTTCACATAACAAACCATAATTTAATCTAATATTAACATAACCTCAATCTAACCTTACCTTAGCGTAACCCTAATATAAATCCTGATATAAACTAATATAATATTAACCTTAAATGTAACCTAACCTTAATCTAATCCTAAACCCATTCTAACCTTGAATTTAATCAACTTAACTAACCTAACTTTCACTTCCTTCATTTTCAAACCAATCTTAACCTAGTTTGATCTAAGCAGGACAAAATCTAACCTTAACTGAAACCCAAACTAACTCAAGCTCACTCGAACAAAGGATATCGATGCGAATGTCGAACCAGACAGCTTTTAATGTCTTTCCTTTATAGTATTATTTTTACCAGAACCCCTGTCACAGCACGCGAAGAGCATCAAGATGCTGTATCAGCTTCTCGAAGTTCGTGGTCGGATTTAACCCACATTGTTTCGTCCCGAATCATTTTCAGCGCACGTAATAAGCATGCGTTTCTGTTCGCAATCCACGGATCTCCAGTAGGGATTTTCGAAAGGCCAACCTATGCTACTACAGAAACATGCACCCCGACTGCAGGTGAATAAAGGATGAGAAGACGCCTTGGGATTCCTGGTACAACGGGGATCTCTCGTTCCATGCTGAGGCTCTTGTATGAATTTGCATCACGATGGTAGCTGATTTTTATATACTGTACCATGACCGGAACGAATAGAGCGGTTTAGTGTCGCACTCCACGTGCTGAGATGTTTAAAATGGAACGAGTGTAATTACAAGATTTACAAAAATTAAATTTGTAACTAAGGCGAAATGTTAGTGTCTAGGAGATGAATTCATGTGACTGTGGATGATAATTTATGTGACTGTATGGAGCTAACTTTGGGATCTATTACTGTGTAGGTCCGATATAGTGTTGGTCTACTGTTCTGTAGGACCATTAATGTATGTAGACATATTACTTTATGGGTTTATCGTTTTATCGGTTCATCACTGTATAGGTCATCAGTATACATGTAGACGTACCCTATGAGGCTACTGCAAAGAAGTCTGTTACTGTGCACCTTGTATAGGCCTTGTATAATATCGGTCTATCACTATTCTGGCGTTCTACAATATCGGCCCATCACTGTATAGGCCTATTACTTACTTGTTCCACTAGTGTATGGACACACCAGTAAAATGGAGTTTCCGCTGAGTAGGTCAATTAGTGTATAGACCCACCACGAAGTAGGTTTTCCACAATACTGGACCATTACTATAGAGGCCCATCACTGAATCAGCCTATTACTTTATGACCCACTGTATGGGTATATTAGTGGAATGGGGCTACCACTGAATAGGTCCACCTACATTTATTACTGAGTAGGTCCTCCACATTATTAGTTCATTACTATATAGGCCCACCATTGAGTGGGCCTATTACTCTATGACCCCCTACTCTATGGGATTAAGCTACTTTAGTGGAATGGGGTTACCAGTGGAATAGGTCCATATACATTTATTACTGAACAGGTCATCCACATTATTGGTCCACTGCTATATAGGCCCACCACTGAGTCAGCCTATTACTTTATGACCCGCTACTGTATGGGCATATTAGTGAAATGGGGGTTTCTACTAAATAGGTCCACCACTTTATAAACCCATCATTGTGTACATTCACTACTAAATAGACCCACCACTGGATAGGCCCACTGCTATATGGTCCTTTGTACAGGTCCATCACTGTGTAAGCCTATTACTCCTTAGCCTACTACCCTATTGCCCCATTATTGTATAGGCCCACTATTGTGTCAGTCCATCCTCAAATGTGACCACTGGTGTATTAAGCTATTATTCTATTGGTCCATCACTGAATAGGCTCACTGTATGGGACTATTACTCCATAGCCTACTACTCTATTGTCCCGTTATTGTATGAGCCCACTACTGTGTCAACCCATAATCGAATGTGACCATTAGTGTATTAAGCTATTATTCTATCGGTACATCAGTGAATAGAGCCACCACTGTATAGGTCCATCACTGTATAAGCCTATTACTCAATGAACTATTACTGTATTGCTGATACCTATATAGCTCCACTACTGTATCAGTTTATTATTGAATGTCCTCACTACTGTGTGAGTTTACTAATACATCTCTAATAAACCATTAATGGAGTGAATAGACCACTAGTATACAGGGTGTCTTACAACTAGTGTAGTTCTTTGAAATGTAGAAGGGGTAGCTTCAGTATATCTACCACTAATATATAGGGTGCCTCACAACTAGAGTAATTCTCTGAAATGTAGAAGGGGTAGCTTCAGTATATCTACCACTAATATACAGGGTGTCTCACAGCTAGTGTAATTCTCTGAAATGAGGAGGGGGTGGCTTCAGTATATCCAGCACTAATTTAAAGGGTGCCTCACAACTAGTGTAATTCTCTGAAATGAGAAGAGGGGTGGCTTCAGTATATTCATCACTAATTTAAAGAGTGCCTCACAACTAGTGTAATTCTCTGAAATGAGGAGGAGGTGGCTTCAGTATATCCAGCATTAATATAAAGGGTGCCTCACAACTAATGTAGTTCCCTAAAATGCAGGGTAGCTTCAGTATATCTACCACTAATATACAGGGTGTTTCACAACTAGTGTAGTCCCCTGAAATGGGAGTGGCTTCAGTATATCTACCACTGAATAAGTCTATCATTAAACAAGTGCATCACTATATAAATCCAATATTCTATGTATCCACTAAGCCTTATTGACTAAGGTATCACTGCTCTTCAGCCTCACTACTACATATCCTAACAATACTAATATACGAATTAATTTTATAACCCACTTATACAGTTAGGTTACTTAGCGCACCTGGAACTATTTCACAGCCATTCACCTAAAGACCATAAATCCGCACGATGCAAGGGAAGAAGTTTCACAAGTGGAAAAAGCGCGAGAATGATAGCACTCGTTTATTTGTACAATCGGTTTTATAAGAACGTAAAAGGCGAAAGCAATCATCGTCACCGTGAAAGTTGGTCAACAACGCCCCGAGGGTCTAAGCAAAAAATTTATCGCCCCTAGATCCTGATAGTCGGTGAGCTTCTTCAATTATCGACTTGATACGTTCTTGCCGCGCCGCGCGAAACCGGCGTTTTGTGCCTGGAACAGCTTAAACGAGCGAAAAACTTTTGATAGCACAGCAACAGATTCTTCAAGGTAAAGCTTTACCTCGCTGGAAAATTGTTTCCTTCGATTAACAGTCTTAATTTAGTTACAAGGAACATTAGACGCATCCTGATAATGAACGGTTTCTGGGGTGGAACGATTATACAGGGTGTTTCATGCGTCAGGGACCGAGGGAGAATTCGAAAGGATCGAATGATTCAATCATGACATTTCTTTACAAGATCAGACTACAGAAGTCAGAAAAATCAAAAACTAATAAGATATCGTCATTTTCGTGAATGAGTAATATTACATAGTCGAGTCTGAAAGTGTTAATAAAAGTCCACATTTTAACATCTTTTATTCGTTCAAACAATTAATATACAATTAATATTCGATCATTATTATTTGTGGCTAAAGCTACCGCATTTTCTTTATACCCCGAGCTAATTATATTCATGCAATCTTTCCAGGCTGTTTATCAAGCTTCTCAACTTCCGGCTAACAGATCACGGTAACGCTCAAAAACCCGAAGGCTCTTTGATCGAGTTAATTTAATCCGAAGGTAAAGTTGGCTGCAGGCAGCGTGTCGAATAAGAAGATAATCTGAAATTCTGTCGATGAGTTAGGCTCCTCTATTTTTCTGCATTTTAGCGGCTAATCTGTTGGCTCGTGATATTTTTACTGCGCTCGTCATGCATTCCTCTATCCAAAGGAAACAGAATCCGTTGACATTTTGGAAATATGGTAAAACGATTCCTTCCCTCATGCAACGTTTGTACCACTCGATCTCTTCTTTGTTCGAAGCTGTCTCTATCAGAAATTTATTGAACGTACTCGATCGTACGGGTGCTTTTATTGTAGGTTTCCTCCAATGTTTCTCGAAACCGCTTTCGTAGGTTAGAACGTCGATATATTTCGTAACACCAAACGCTAAATTGAGAAGATTGTCCTCTAAATGATCGTAGATTGTTTTGGACTCTTCGTGTACCACCTTTTCGGTATCTAACCTTCTTGCTTTCGGGTCGGAGGTACCGGAAGCTATCTGGATTTAATGAACATCCAGTTTTAGATTAGGTTAGGATAAAAGAGTTGGTTTATGGCAATTTATGTTCTTTCTGTGATTGCTAATAGGTTAGGTTAAGCTGTAGGAGGTTAAGATTAAATTGGAATTCATTGCGTTAGATCACATTAAGCTATAAAAAGTTAGATTAGATGAGAATTAAATTAGGTTTGATTAGATTAGAATTAAATTAGATTAGATTAGATGAGAATTAAATTAGGTTCGATTGCATTAAGCTATGAAAAGTGAGGTTAGATTAGATGAAAATTAAATTAGGTTAGATTACATTAAGCTACAATAGGTTATGTTAGATGAAATGAAAGTTCTTTGAATTACGTTAAATTGCATTAAACTTTATGAGGAAAAGTTAGAATATGTTAAGGACCATTGAATTAGATTAAATCAGTTTATGTTGCATAAGGTTAGGTTAGTTTGTATCAAGGTTCATTGAGTTTTATTAAATTTTGATTAGGGTTTATTAGATCACGTTAAATTGTAATAAGCTACATGAGCATACGTTAAATTAGATTATGAACTATCGATTTATGTTGAACGATATTAAACTGCAGGTTAGGTTAGTTTAGATGAAGGAACATCGGGTCAGGTTAGATTACATTAAGCTACAATAGGTTATGTTAGATGAAATGAAAGTTAATTGAATTACGTTCGATTGCATAAACTATATGAGGAAAAGTTAGAACAGTTTAAGGATCATTGAGTTAGATTAGATTACCTCATGCTGCGTAAGGTTAGGGTAGTTTGTATTAAGGTTCATTTTATTAAATTTGATTAGGGTTTAATTAACATAGGTTTAACATATGTTAAATTAGACCACGGATTATCGATTTATGTTCCTTGATATTAAACCGCAGATTAGGTTAGTTTTGATGAAGGAATAGGTTAGGTGAGATTAGATTAAGCTGCAACAGGTTATGTCTAGATTAAATTCGAATACATTTGATTAGGTCAAGTAGGTTAGTTGCTTGATTATATCACATATGATTGGTTGATATTATAAAACATTTCTGTAACATTAAATCTGTGTCACACCGAAAAAAAAATCGATATTTCGATTGACAATACAAACTTTATATTTTTGTTTTATCACAGTTCTGAAACGAATACTGTGAACCGTTATTGCGGCTTTTGGAGTGGCAGAGGGTTAGCGTCCGAACAAGAGTGTACCGGAAGTACACTTAAAACAAAATTGTTTTATTAGAGCGTCGATCGTGTTTAATTGGCACATTTGGCAGAAGTTTCACATAAAAAGAACATTAATCTACTAACCGACATCCAATAGCGTCCGAGTGCTCTTTGCAGATCAATGACCGCATTTACATCCTGCTCTTTAAAACCGTACAGAACACGGATTTTCAATAATTTTGGCAAGTTCTGTTCCATGGAACATGTCAACGGAAGATCATGGGTATTTTCCCAAATACCATTGCCATTTTTGCCAAATGGAAAGGGCCAATCGTAGGGAATCGAATATGTACTTCGTAATAGTTTCCTTCGGTCGAAGTTTGTTGGCTTCAATTCAGGATACTAGGGTTAATAAAATATATTTGTGGATTGCTGACCTCTCAAATATTCTATAATCAACTGCCTAATAAAACAAGAAAAAGAAAGCTGAACTTTCGTTGAAGTTTGCGGAAGAAATGGAGCGATCTGTAGATTTTTCCCGCCATTAATCCCAAGCGCGGGAAATTCAAACGCTCCTAATCTTTCAAAACGTTACTATGGTAATATTAGTATGAAGTTCCAAATAAAAAATTTAAATGATGTTATTCTTCCTATTATAATTGTTAAAATATGCTACTCTATTTTCCTTATTTTTGCAAACTTTTTTAAACCAGATTCATCATCTCAGAATTTGATCATTTCCTTAAAGAATGGTTCAGATTCAAAGACTGCCGCGTTTAATCAAGCACACGTTTAACTAACCTGAAACGTTAGCAGAGTCTTTGATCGTGGCTCAGGTTTCGACGGTTCAAACATAATAAGACGACGAAGTTTCGGTCTGCGCGAACTCGGATACAAGATGGCGCTGGTCTCGTTATCAAAGGCTGTTGCCAATTCGGCCCGGTTGCTCGCAGATCGATGAAGGTACTCGTAAGCTGTGAGATTGCGATTTATCGAAAATATTCTGCAACGAATGTCATTGAGCTGGAAGCACAGCCTCTCGTGATCGCAGCGATGCTCAAAGCGTTCGTCTTCTTCCTCGTAAATCTCTTTGCCTTCGAGAAGGTCCACGTTTGAGTTCGATCCTGACGGTTCTTTACGATGATAACTCGTTGTACTGTCGTCCTTCACCTCGAATACATTTTTAAAAACGTCTCTGCTAGAAAATATGACGGCCGGTGACTCGAACGGGAAGAATTCGTACGTGGAAGTCGATTGGCTGCCACAGATGGCGCACGAGTTGCCTCCGAACGATAGACCATCTTCTTTGATCTGTTGAAAACACATGTAACTAGAAAAGGTGATTATTGGAATAAATACAGGATGTTGCGTATGTCTGGGTAAGCTTCCTTAAGGAAAATGGTGATATAGGGAAAGAAGGTCCTATGTGCTATAACACTCAAAGGTTATCGCGTGATATACCTATGGGGTTTCTTCCTCTTCGCCATATTCTTCTTCCTCTTCTTTAGCAAAGTTGTCAGTTCTCTGTGTCTTCATCACCATCTCTTCTAAGAAAGAACGTTCGGTAACTTTTTCTTTACGCCGCCATTTTCCTTAGGCCTTCACCGTGTCTGCCATTTTCTATAAGGAAGCTCCTAGGCCTTCTTTCTATATGTCGCCATTTTTCTTAGGGAAACCCACCTTAGAGAATTTTAGGTCAAGTTAGGTGCTAATGAAACTGTTGTGAGGTTAGTTTATTGTTTTCCTGCATTACAAGATGGCGGAATATTTGAATAATCAATATATCAAATAATGACCCACCTTAGAGAATTTTAGGTTAGGTTAGGTGCTAATGAAACTGTTGTGAGGTTAGTTTAATGCTTTTCCTTATTACAAGATGGCAGAATCGTTGAATAATCAATATATCAAATAATGACCCACCTTAGAGAATTTTAAGGTAGGTTAGGTGCTAATGAAACTGTTGTGAGGTTAGTCTATTGCTTTTCTTCATTACAAGATGGCGGAATCTTTAAATAACTAGTATATCAAATAATGACCCACCTTAGAGAATTTTAGGTTAGGTTAGGTGCTAACGAAACTGTAGTGAGGTTAGTTCAATGCTTTTTCTTCATTACAAGATGGCGGGCTTTTTAAATAACCAATATATCAAATCAGTAGCAATCTTTGAATAATCAGTATCAAGTTGGCAAGAGCAAAATATTTTTATTTCTGTTATATGATATAATAAATGAATACCTATCTGCAACTGTAAAAGAAAATGACCATCAAGATCCACCTGTTAAAACAAATTCTGAATTTCGAAAATTTAAATGAGACTAAAAAATAATGAAAAGCTTGCCAACTATTTGTTCCCAATAACAGAGTGAGGTTAATAATTATCAAGAATTTGAAAAATGTTGAAAACGTGTAAAGTTAAATGGAACTCCGTGATCATCAAGTTTTAGCATCGGTTATGCCTTGGTCCGGAATGAATTTCATCTCGTCGGTTTCGATTACCTTCAGATTAACTCCATCGGCCATCGAAACTTCGTAATCACCTCTTCTGGATATGCTGACTCGAACTTCGTCTGGCATCAATAAAGTACAGCTAACTGTTGACTGATCGTAGAACACCGTGGCATAGTTCTTGTGTTCTACGCGACATGTCAACAGAACAGAGACAAAGGCATCCTCGATCAATAGCCCGGTCACATCTTCCAAGCTGTGTCTCGAAGCAGCTTCCTCGACGTACTTCAGATTCGAAAATGACACACTGTTATCTGTTTCCTCTGTATCGTCGAATATAAAGTACCGTAGAATTTCCTCCTCGGACCAGTCACATGTCACTGGCTCCTTTTCTATGATGTAGCCCGTTGTGATGCGCGTACCGTCTGAAATCATTTGTTCGGTATTAGTCGTCAGGTTTTATACAGAATTTTGGTAATTTTGGGATATTGGGACTTTGGGATCTTGGGATTTGGAGATTTGGGGATTTGGGGATTTGGGGATTTGGGGATTTTGGGATATGGGGATTTTGGGATTTGGGGATTTTGGGATTTTGGGATCTTGGGATTTGGGGATTTTGGGATTTTGGGATTTTGGGATTTTGGGATTTTGGGATTTTGGGATTTTGGGATTTTGGGATTTTGGGATTTTGGGATTTTGGGATTTTGGGATTTTGGGATTTTGGGATTTTGGGATTTTGGGATTTTGGGATTTTGGGATTTTGGGATTTTGGGATTTTGGGATTTTGGAATTTTGGGATTTTGGGACTTTGGGAGTTTGGGACCTTGGGATTTTGAGACCTTGGGATTTGGGGACTTTAGGATTTGGGGACCTTGGGATTTGGGGACTTTAGGATTTTGGGACCTTGGGACTTGGGGTTCTTGGGATTTTGGAACCTTGGAATTTGGGGACCTTGGGAGTTCGGGACGTTGGAATTTGGGACAATTGGGATTTTGGAACCTTGGAATTTGGGGACCTTGGGAGTTTGGGACGTTGGAATTTGGGGACATTGGGATTTTGGAACATTGGAATTTGGGGTTCTTGGGATTTTGGAACCTTGGAATCTGGGGACCTTGGAATTTTGGGACCTTAGGATTTTGGGCCTTGGGAATTTGGGACCTTGTGATTTTGGGACCTTGGGAATTCGGGACCTTGTGATTTTGGGACCTTGGGATTTTGGGACGTTGAGATTTTGGGACCTTGGGATTTTGGGACCTTGGAATTTAGGAACCTTCGAATCTGGGGACCTTGGGATTTTGGGACCTTGGAATTTAGGAACCTTCGAATCTGGGGACCTTGGAATTTAGGGAATCTTGGATTTTTGGGATTGTAGGACATTGAGAATTTTCTTCAGAGGGGTGGGGGGTGTTAGGAGGAACACTATGGGTATTCTAGAGACTGGAGACTAATGTGTCTAAAGACTGGAAAATTTGTATACTTAATATTCATCCATAATACTGTTTACAAGATATTTATATCTAAAATGTATTCAATACACATTTTAACCTCAGCAATATAATTTTGCCCAGGGCCCTGTAGACTCTAATGACGTCCCCTTAAATCAGCGCATTAGAGTCCACACTAGAAACAAGTTCTCTGAACGACTACAAAAAAAATTTTCGTTGTAAACTATGAACAGTAGAATATACAGCATCAAACCCATGAGGGTATTATTACCACATAGAATTCAGCAAGTAATATCAATTATAATATGAGTAGATATTATAATTTGTAAAATATAATTGTATTTTCATAGAAATTTATATGTTTTCTTTTTCCTTTCTAGAATTTAAAGGGAATGCACATTATCAGCGACCAAATAACCGCTCTTCGAGAACTCGCTCGAGCCACTTCGAGAAGTAATGAATTTAAAAGCACTTAAGGCTCCCACGGTTGTATTAAAATCGACATTATCGAAAATGGAGCAAACTTTTCTGACCCAGGGAACTTCCACCCACGAGAGACCGCGTTTTTATGTAGCCGTAAAATGTTTCAACCTTAGCATGACTGATAATTTCATTTTATAGGGTGTATCGGGGAAGTTCGACAAATCCTAAACATTATTAATCTGGTAACTTTGTGGCGATATGGTGTATGCTATAAATTATTAAAAATATCTATTTTTATAACACAGAGGCGATACTTTCTGTCGGCACCTTTGAAAACTGTCCCTTTAAATTGGTTGTACAAATGAGCGGGAAATTTAAATCTAGCAAAACTACTTTCATGTCAATCTCCAATAATTTGGAATATATTTGTAATAAATTTTCTGTATGTTACTAATATTGTCTTTTGAGATATTTTTATCAATTTTACGGCGTAAAATTGAAAAAGAAAAGAATATACCAAAATGATTGCTCTACAAAATATATTTGAAGAATATGTATTACGGAAATGATTATTACAAATAACTTCTAAGAAAATGAAAAACTATATATCACAAGAAATTACAGATGAATGTGTTACAGAGATATGACAAAATATTTATTACAAATAAATTACTGGTGAATATCAAATAAAAATATTTATTACAAATAAATTACTGGTGAATATGCAGGTTTAAACTATTCTTTTTCGACCGCCATACTTCTACACTATGCGCATGCGCACCCCCGATTCTTTTGTTTTGGGCATTTAAACTGGTTGTAGTCTCTGTTTCTCTCTAGGAGGTAGGTTTCCTTGTCTAGTGTCGGCTCTTGTTATATCTACTCTTTGATTATAGTCTTCTGCGAATTACATAACCTCAAATAATTGTCATAACCTACAAAACTATTATAATCTCAATTGGGTAATTTTTATAATCCACTAAATCGAGTAGTTCTAATTAATAATAATTAAGCTAAACTAGGTTGTTGTTTAGTTTATCATAACTTCATGAATAGAATTGTTACAACCTACATTAATTGACATAATTTTTAATAAATAATCCATTTCAGCCATATTGAAATTCCATCAATCCTATTTCTCTATCAAAATCTGTGCTGTTTCTTTAAATTTTATTTTGTAACGAAGTCAGTTGCTCTCGAATTTTGTTGAGAATATCAGGATAAGCAAATCAAAGACCAAAGAAATTTAGGAAAAAGACAGAGAAGAATTTGCTTGTCACTGGTTTCTCGAATGTTCGTGGCAAGTGTATTCAACGACCAAACAAAGTATAGTTGAGATGAGGAAAGTTGGGATGAAAGTTTATGAACTTGGCTTTCGCATACGTTCCGAGAAAACGTTTTACGCTGTGCAGGCGTGAATCGATGCATAATATTGTACCTTAAAGAGTAAGTATAAATCATATAAATTTTGTTCAGTTACAAAATTGAATAAATACTGGAAATTTGATCAATTTCACATATTTTATGTATCCTACATATTTGATTCATTTTTTGAGTTTTGTGCATTTTGTGGATTTTATAAATTTTGTGGATTTCGTGGATTTTCGGGATTTTATGAATTTTATGAATTTTATGGAATTTGTGAATTTTATAAATTATGGGGATTTTGGGAATTTTATGAATTTTGTAGATTTTGTGGGTTTTGTGAATTTAATTAAATTTTGTGGATTTTGTAGATTTTGTGAATTTTGTGGATTTTATGGATTTTGTGAGTTTTTTGGATTTTATGAATTTTATGGGTTTTGTGGATTTTATGAATTTTATGGGTTTTATTATTCTGATAAATTTTGTCATTTTTATAAATTTTGTAATATTTGTAACTTTAATGATTCTTCTAACTTTGAGAAATTTTATAAACCCTTTTAATTGATAAATTTCATAGATTTTAACAATTTAACAAACTTTAGTTTTCATAACATAAGAATTTCCAAAAATTCTCAAAATATTTTAAATTTAAAAAATTTGTGCAATTCTAGTAATTTTCGTAATTTTCAAAAATTTATCAAATTATCAATTTTAAAAAAATTCTCAACACTTCAAATTTTAGAAATTTCTAAAATTGTAAACATTCTTAAAATTATCCAAATTTGAGAAACTAAAAATCCACAAATTAAGAGTCCTTAGTTCAAGAGTTAAACCGCCTCAAACGACACTGTCCAAACAGGACCTTAAAAAGCTAGTGTTTAACAAAGTGACAAGAAGTTACCAGGGAATTCGACAATCAATTCCCCATTAGAATTCAGCAACATGTTGGTGCCGTCAGCTCGACGCGTGAATTTCTCGTCTACCTCGTAGTCGGACGCTGTCCTCACGAGTAATCGATGGTGTTCGCTTACGACCAAGTCGTCGGCCACCTCGTACCATCTACCATCGTGATCCAGCACCGTGTACCGTAACACTTTGACCGTCGTGTCATCCACTGACAAGACACTGTCATGATTCTGAGGACACATGATGTTCGATCGATCGGTGAAAACGGTGACAGGAGAATTGACGTATCGCAATGGATACAGCCACTCGATAACTCCTCAATTTCAGGGCTTTAAAACTCGTCTCAAGAAACATTGAACTATTGAACATCGATGAAATGCGTCATTTCATCACCAATCGTGCGAGTTAACACCTTCAGAATAACTGTGTCATATTATACACTTCGCATGGGTGCATACGTATGCATTTGATACTCTGGGATCGAACGTGTTAAATGTAATATAATCATGCATTTATGGAGTTCTAAGTGTGATGTAGATTGGTGACATGGGAAGTTACATGACAGGGCATTATCGAGTGACTGTAATTGGTTTTTACCAATTACTCTGGAATCGAATGTGTTACATGTAATATAATCATGCATTCATGGAGGTCTGAGTCAAGTGTGATGTAGATTGGTGACATGGGAAGTTATATGACAGGGCATTATCGAGTGACTGTAATTGGTTTTTACCAATTACTCTGGAATCGAATGTGTTACATGTAATATAATCATGCATTCATGGAGGTCTGAGTCAAGTGTGATGTAGATTGGTGACATGAGAAGTTACATGACAGGGCATTATCGAGTGACTGTAGTTGGTTTTTACCAATTACTCTGGAATCGAATGTGTTACATGTAATATAATCATGCATTCATGGAGGTCTGAGTCAAGTGTGATGTAGATTGGTGACATGGGAAGTTATATGACAGGGCATTATCGAGTGACTGTAATTGGTTTTTACCAATTACTCTGGAATCGAATGTGTTACATGTAATATAATCATGCATTCATGGAGGTCTGAGTCAAGTGTGATGTAGATTGGTGACATGGGAAGTTATATAACAGGGCATTATCGAGTGACTGTAATTGGTTTTTACCAATTGCTCTGGAATAGAACGTGTTAAATGTAACATAATCATGCGTTTATGTAGATCTGAGTCAAGTGTGATGTAGATTGGTGACATGGGAAGTTATATAACAGGGCATTATCGAGTGACTGTAATTGGTTTTTACTTAAGTAATATTTTTTCAAGTTTATGAAATTTATTGTAACGTTGGTAATTAAGAATTTGTGAAGTTCGAATTTTACGAAATCTTTCTGTTGTAACCGTGTAGATGGTGCTTCGACTACTTTAGCCAGTTGAGTCTTCAGCAAACTCGATGATTTTCTCTTAGTTTTAAGAAGCTTCGCTCCTCTGCTCGATCTGTCACCTTTAAAGTTACAATCCTCGTTTTTAATAAGGTCTTTTCAGTTTGAGAAGCGTTTCTCTTACAGTGATTCAATTTGTTCAGGAGTAAGATTCAACTTAATTTATCTTACAATATACGCCTTACCTGAACGAATTCTTTTTATGAGAAACATATCAAGTCCGTTTTATAGAACCTAACTTATAATAGGACAGATGTATAATATAACCTAACTTATCTTGCAATAAACATAACCTAACTTACCCTTCAATAAACATACAATTTACCCTTCAATAAACATAACCTAACATATCTTTCAATAAATATATAACATAACCTAACTTATCTTACAGTAAACATATAATATAACCCAACATATCTTACTGTAAATATATAACGTAACTGAACTTATGTAATAGAAAATAACCTAACCTATCTTTTAATAAACATAACCTAACTTATCTTACAGTAAACATATAATCCAACCTACCTTACTGTAAATATTCAACGTAACTGAACTTATGTTATAGTAAATAACCTAACCTATCTTGTAGTACGCATTCGTTATAACCTAACCTATCTTACATAATGTAACTTGAATTATCTTACAGCAAACATATAGCATGAGCCTATGTATGTATATCACAGTGAACGCAAAACCTTATCTAAGTTATAGCAATATAACCTAACCTCACCTTTTACAGTGAACATATGACATAACCTGTCCTTCAGTAAATATATAACACAACCTAACTTATTATACACTATTAATAATATGTTTAACAAGCATATAACATAATCTATCTTACAGTAAATATATGCTTATGTATATATAACCTAATCTGACTTATAGCAAAAATATAACGTACTCTTATTTTACAATAAACATTCACCATAACCTAACTTATCTTTTAGAAAATATCGAACCTTGTCTTATAATAAATATATTATATAACCTAACCTATAATATTACATGATAGGTTATAAAACCTATCCTATTCTAAAACATAACCCATTTTCCGCGCTTTAAAGAAGTTTAACAGACAAAAATGCTTGTACCAACCTCTCTGAAAGTTGGTCTCATCATTATGGCTATCGGAATCTTCAAATCGGAGCTTCTCGAAGGCCGTACAAGTTACGACGACCCCATTAGGACGAAGAACGATAATTTGCCCATCGTCGAGATACTTCAAAATGGTGCCATTTCTCAAAAACTTTCTACAAACTTCATGGACGCCGTTGATGTTCCCGTATCCTCTCGACGTGACGTAAGACTGACAAATGTAAAATGGATCATCTGTTTCGGTACCAGTGATTGGTTCTATCAGCAGGCCGGTCGGCCATGATGCTTTAAAATGGACGTTCATGTTCTGGCAAAACTGCTTGTGAGAACTCCTGTCTTCGTCTAAATAATGTGAAGATAATACAATGTTATGTTCATAAGTGTATAATATATATTAAATTTTTAATAAGTCTATTTTTAAATTAGTCAAATTATTTTTGCGACGCAGAGAAGTTGGGGATTTGGAATTTTAAGTGTTAGGTATTTTGGGACTTTAGGATTTATAGTTGCGGGATTTTGGGATTCTGGGACAGCGAGGTTCTGGGATTTTGGAATATGGGGATGTTGAGGTTTTGGGATTTGGGAATTTTGGAATTCTGCAATTTTGGAATTTTGCAATTTTGAGATATTGGGACTTTGGGATTCCGAGATTTCGGGATTTTAGAGTATAGGAACTTTGATATTTTGGAATTTTGGGTCCTTGGGATTTTGGGATTTTGGAATTTGGGGACCTTGGGATTTTGGAACCTTGGAATTGGGGGACCTTGGGATTTTGGGACCTTGGAATTTGGGGACCTTGGAATTTGGGGACTTTGGGATTTGGGGACCTTGGGATTTGGGGACCTTGGAATTTGGGGTCCTTGGGATTTTGAAACCTTGGAATTGGGGGACCTTGAAATTTGGGGTCCTTGGGATTTTGGGACTTTGGAATTTGGGGAACTTGAAATTTTGGAACCTTGGAATTTGGGGCACTTGGGATTTTGAGACCTTGGAATTTGGGGAACTTGGGATTTTGGGACCTTGGGATTTTGGGACCTTGGGATTTTGGGACCTTGGAATTTGGGGACCTTGGAATTTGGGGACTTTGGGATTTGGGGACCTTGGGATTTGGGGACCTTGGGATTTGGGGACCTTGGAATGTGGGGTCCTTGGGATTTTGAAACCTTGGAATTGGGGGACCTTGAAATTTGGGGTCCTTGGGATTTTGGGACTTTGGAATTTGGGGAACTTGAAATTTTGGAACCTTGGAATTTGGGGCACTTGGGATTTTGAGACCTTGGAATTTGGGGAACTTGGGATTTTGGGACCTTGGGACTTTGAGACTTTGGAATTTTTGAATTCTGTGACTTCAAAATTCCGAAATATGAGAATGTGGGAACCTTGACATTGTGGAACCTTGGTGATTTTGAAACATTGGAATTTGAGGATTTTGGAACTCTAAGATGTTAGAACCTTGTGACTGAACGGTGGTAGAATTTAGGGACTTCAGAATTTTTAAACTTTGCAGCTTTCCATCTTTGGTATTTTTAGACTTTGTAATTTGGGGACTTTGGAATTTTGGAGTTGTAGAATCTTGAGATTTCGTAATTTTACAATATGGGAATTTTGTGACTTTGAACTCCTGATTTTGGGATTCTGAAATTTTAAGATTTATGTGTTTTAGAATATGAGAATTTTGGAATTTGGGACATTTGAATTTCGTGCACAAACTTCTATAACTTCGATATTTCAGAACCTTCGCACTTAGACTTCCGGTAGAAACCTTCAAACTCCGGAATGCTTTAAGTACATTCCCAAGGTGGCGAGAAATAGAATACACTTCAAATTACAAAACACAGAAACGCAATCATGCGACATAACCTCAACCCCTTAAATGAATCTACACATAGAAATAACAGCGTTTAATCTAAATTCTAGAAAGCGAACAAAACTATTCACCACAAGAATAATACATTAATACTATTTTAAACGATTAAAATATTCTGAATGATAAAAGGGTAATAATGGTGCAGCACTAACAAGGTGGCAGGAAGAATTTCTCGAAAGCGAGTATAATCCCAGCTTCAGTCGTTAAATGAAACATTTTGCTGCTTTCCCGAGCGCTGTTATTAATTCGCTGAAACAATCGTAAACTGTAATCATGCACAGTGACCGTAATCCGTAGATCTTTGTCCTTGTAAAGCCAGTCGTCCATTTCCACTTGTACCAAAGTACCATCGGCCGAGTAAAAGGTTTTCTTGGTGTTCGTGATTTGAACACGTAGCCTGCCAAGATCGTAGCCTACGAACTCATAAACATTCTCCTTTTCAACGGTATCAACCGGTGCGCTTTGTCTCTTAGTTAAAGAAAATCGTACGTCTGCGCTTGACATCGAGCTAGGTTTCTCATTGGCTCTTTTCTTCTTCTTCTTCTTTGAACTTTCTACCGATTCCTCAACGGAAGTGGAGGCTGTGTAAAGAAAAACGAAACGTATTTGATTTATGATGCGCTTTCTATAGTTATAGTGATCACTAGTTTACCAGCAGAATCGCGAAGTCGAATGTGAACTTCAAATATTGTACTTTGGCGGTTCAGCTAGCAAGTCAGGGGCCTGCTGGTGGACTCGTCAATAAGACATCCCAGCAGGCACTTAGACGTGGGCAAAGAATAGATACAACAAGAGAGAGACAGAGTAGGGTAGAATTGTAAAATAATGGAGTAGTAGTGCAGCAGTATAGTATTATGGTAGTACAGAAGTATAGTAGAATTGTGGAATAGAAGATTAGTTGAATGGTAGTATAGTAGTATAGTAGTATAGCAGCATAGTAGTATAGTAGTATAGTAGTATAGTAGTATAGCCGTATAGCAGTATAGTAGTATAGTAATATAGTAGTACAGCAGTATAGCAGTATAGCAGTATAGCAGTATAGCAGTATAATAGTATAGCAGTATAGCCGTATAGCAGTATAGTAGTATAGTAGTACAGCAGTATAGTAGTATAGTAGTACAGCAGTATAGCAGTATAGCAGTATAATAGTATAGCAGTATAGCAGTATAATAGTATAGCAGTACAGCAGTATAGTAGTATAGTAGTATAGTAGTATAGTAATACAGTAGTATATTAGTATAGTAATATAATAGTATATAGTATGGCAGTACAGTAATACAGTAGTAAATTAGTATAGTAATATAACAGTATAGTAGTATAATAGTATAGTAGTAAAGTGAAATATTACAATAATGCTACAGTAATATGGTTATACAGTTAGAGTACCATAATGAAACAGTGCAATAGCGTAACTGTAATACAATTATGCAATTATAGTAATATCATGAAAGAGTAGAATAACAGTAAGGTGAAGTACCATAATAATACCTGTATAGTACTATGGTAGTGTAGCAGCATAGTAGATTAATAGAATAGTAAAATATTAGAATAGTAGTGTAGTAGAACAGTGGAATAGTGGTACAACGAAATAATGCGATAGTAGAATAGTAGAATAGTGGAAAAACAGAATAGTAAAATAGTAGAATGGTTGAATAGGAGAATAGTAGAATAATAGAATAGTAGATGAGTAGAATAGTAGTCGAGTAGAATAGTAATATAGTAGAATAGTGAAATAGTAGGTTATTGGAATAGTTGAATCGTACAATAGGGGATAGTAGAATAATGAATTAGTAGGATATTGGATAGTAAAATAATAGAATAGTGGGATAGTGGGATAATAGGATAGTAAGATAGTAGGATAGTGGGATAATGAAATAGGAGAATCGTGGAAGAGCAGAATAGTGGTATAGTAGAATAGTTGAATATTATTATATATTGAATAGGAATAGATAGATAATGGATTAATGGACTTCTGTAATAGTGGAATAGTAGAATATTAGTAGGGAAGTATAGTACTGCACTGAAATTGTAGTGTAATGGCGTAGTTGAATAGAAAAATGACAGAATAGTAGTGTTATAGAAATACAGTATAATTATAGTAATTAGTAATAATAATAGTAATAGTAGTACTAATAGTAATAGTAATAGTAATAGTAATAGTAATAGTAATAGTAATAGTAATAGTAATAGTAATAGTAATAGTAATAGTAATAGTAATAGTAATAGTAATAGTAATAGTAATAGTAATAGTAATAGTAATAGTAATAGTAATAGTAATAGTAATAGTAATAGTAATAGTAATAGTAATAGTAATAGTAATAGTAATAGTAATAGTAATAGTAATAGTAATAGTAATAGTAATAGTAATAGTAATAGTAATAGTAATAGTAATAGTAATAGTAATAGTAATAGTAATAGTAATAGTAATAGTAATAGTAATAGTAATAGTAATAGTAATAGTAATAGTAATAGTAATAGTAATAGTAATAGTAATAGTAATAGTAATAGTAATAGTAATAGTAATAGTAATAGTAATAGTAATAGTAATAGTAATAGTAATAGTAATAGTAATAGTAATAGTAATAGTAATAGTAATAGTAATAGTAATAGTAATAGTAATAGTAATAGTAATAGTAATAGTAATAGTAATAGTAATAGTATTATAGTAATAGTAGTATTATGGTACTATAGTAATACAGTAAAATACTGAAATAATACCCTTAGCGGGTTATTAGAATAGTCTGAGAGCATAATACAATATGCAGATACCCTGTCACACGTACTGTTCCCTAAAATCTAAATAAAGAAGTTCAGCAAATCCACAAGGTACATCAATACTCTTTCAACTCACTCTGATCACCTATTTCCAAAGTCCGTTTTTGTTGCCGGAAATCCTGCCGTTTCTCAAGATCCCTAGCCTTCAATGATCCAGGCAAAATGAAGTCCTCGTCGCGGAACAGCAGCGTCTCGTCGTACATCTCGGCACTTTTCCTCATCAATCTTTCGATCGACTGGGTCGTCTCCCATATGTACATCGCTTCCTCTCGACGTATCCACTCCGCTTCTTCAGGTACCACGTATTCGGTAAAGTCATGGAGGCGAACTGGCGTTCGAATGCTGTTCATCCTCTGCTCCTGGTGCACTCCATTAACTATCCTCTTGCATCCGAAATACAGCAACAGCGAATCCGTCGGCTCGAAGTACCTCGACTCGATGTGATCGTACGTCTGGAGACACTCGTAAAGAATCTGCAGAAAAATGGGCGTCGAGAGTGCCTCGACTTCGTCGTAGATCTCCAGACTCCAACCTCTCGTCTTCGAGAATACTCGTTCCTTTAAATACCCCGGCGATAGTAATTCCCTAGGGTCGATTAGGTCGAACAGAGGAGCATACTTGACGAAGGCCGGCACGACCTTGCCGTAGTCGATGTTCCCGTCGCTGTAGAAACGAACCTTCTCCCCAGATTTCGAGGTTAGCTCAAGGGACTTACTGCGCCTCAACGAAGTCATCGAATCTTGTAAATCTATTCCCTTCTCCGACGAACTTCCTTCAGCTCTGTATGGCCCGAATATCATTCTGTCGAGCACCAGAATATGCAAGTAGTGTTTGACCTCTTCGTGGCTGATTCTATCGAAGAAGTACGCTCTCGTTTCATCTATGTGACGGGAGTACTCTGCGCGTTTCTGTTCAGAAATTTCCGGATGCGAATCAAAAATTCCGATGCTCGGGTGCAGGAAGATGGGCAAAATGTCGTCCATCAGGTTGGTCGAGGTCGTGGAGCGGAAGAAGCGTATTACTTCATTTAGAGAATCTCCTTGGATTAACTCGATCTCATTTGGGTGCTCGCTGTCCCTGCGTTGCTCTTCGTCCAAATCGAATTCGAGATTAAGAGCTGTTAATTTTTGCCGAACAAAGTCGGCAGGAGATTGGAGGACAGATTTGTCATCCGACGATGGTGTTTGTTCCTCGGCATCTCCTTTTTCGTCGACATCGTTTTCTTCCTGGGTGTCGACTTGCTTCAGCATCGCGAATAGTATCAGTGGTACAGTGACGCATTCCTCGGGCACGTCATCTAAGAATTCTTCATAGACCTTCATATCAACTTTGTCTTCAACGACTTTGCTGATGTTCGTGTCGACCTTCATACTCTTCAGGTAGTTAGTATGTTGTCGGTGAAGATCGTAGACGTCGTACACGAAATGCGACACAGAGTCGTAGACTATTGTTTTGACGGTCTCGCATTCGTCGGCGCACGACCTTGGCAAATTCGGTGGACAGAACGTGACGAGTGCAATGTCGCAGAAGTCAGGGTGATTCTGAGGATCCATCCATCGCTTCTCGACCGTCGTCCAAAATTTCAGCAGATCAATTTTGTCGACTTCATACGGTATAGAAAATTGCAACTTTCGTGTTGCTAAAGGATCGATTAATCCGGTTCCTACATTTCGATCGAGTTGTTCCTCGGGTCTTTTGATCCTGATAACACAGAATAAAGGCACTCCTGCTTCCATTAATTGCTCAAGTATATCTGGATCGTGGAAACCCGTGAGAACCACGTACAAATTTGGCCCGTTTATAGGAGCATCGTCCACATACACGGCATCACGCCATTCCTCGTTGCGTTTTCTCAGCTTCGTGTTTGCTTTCATGTTGAACACTTCTGGATCGAATCCTTTTGACTTTGGTTGACCTGTTGCAAACATTTTATGTACATACATTTGGTTATATAATAAAATCCACTTATTGTGAAGTTGTTTAGAGTAAATTGGGCTGGGTCAAATTATGTTAAAGTTAAGTTGTGTTCAATAGTGAAAGATATTATTTATCGTTCAAGATCTGTTTGTTTATTTCAGTTGAAATCTGCATTAAGTTCAGTTTGATTAGTTTATATGTTGCAAAGGGGATGTTAAATTAGCTCATATGGTGTATAGGTTAAGTTGGATTAGCTCATACATCGTATAGGTTAGGTTAGATTAGCTCATACATCGTATAGGTTAGGTTAGATTAGCTCATACATCGTATAGGTTAGATTAGATTAACTTATATGGTCCATAGGTTAAGTTAAGTTATTTCATACGTCGTGTAGGTTAGGTCAAATTTACTTATACAATGCACAGGCTAGGTTAGTGTACCTCATACATCGTACAGGTTATGTCACAGGTTATGTGGCTGATATGTTATATAGGTTTGATTAGTTTAGCTTACATTCTATATAGATTCTTTTTGATTAGCTTATATTGTGTATTGGTTAGGTTAGATGCATTCATATGTTGTGCAGGTTAGGGTAGATTAGGTTTCATGTCATATAGGTTAGGTTCGATTAGTTTATATATCGTAACGTTAAGTTAAGTTGCATTGCATAAGTTAATGTTAGATGAGTTCATATGTTGTATGACCATGTATGTATGTTCATATGTTGTATATATGTATAGGTTAGTTTAAATTAGCTCGTATGTTGTGTAGATTACTTTAAACTACCTTATAATTGAACACGTTAGACAAAGTTAGACTAAATGTTAGTAACAAAACAGAACAAATATCATTTTATAAAATAGTCAATGTGTTTTCATAATATAAACTACATTTATTTCCTTCTTTCTACTCCAATTGAGGGTTATGTTTGAATTGGGTTAAGTCATGTTACGTTGCATTTATAGAACGTGTTAGTCAGTATAAAGCTTGGTTACTTTTAGTGTACGTATTATCGTAATGCATACAGATCTAAACTAGGTTAAGTTATGTTACGTTATTACAGTTTATCTCTCTGAGTGATGTTCCGATCGATATGCAAACAAGTCCGACGAATAAACAAAGTCCGGAAAGTCTGGGTCAACGATGTCCTCCATATCACGCTTACCCCAATCAGCCACAGTCTGCATGATCTCGTACTCTTCATCTATTTCACGCTCCAGATCAGCCAACTTTTTCACTACACCGATGTTCTCTTCTTTGGCTCGGCATATCAAGTACTTGATGACCCGTGCCATCAGCCAGCCAGGCAATACACCGTTGTCCTCATTCAGAATCTTGCTAGCGTAATGACAAACGCCCTGAATAGTTGGGCATTTGTCCAGAGGCTGGTTCGACAACACTTTCACAGCCTCTACAGTTTTCTGGTAGCTCAGAGCGTAAATGGCCTTCCGTTTACCGTCTTCGGCAGCTGCGTTGAAAATCGACACACACTTCGCGTGACCCTCGATCGTCTCCACTAGCAGCATCACCATACACCACCAACTGTCCTCGTTAATCGAGACGGCGTTTAACTCGGCACGCCAGGAATCCTCGTTGATTTGCTTTCGTCCTTTGGCCGACGCCTCCGATCTCGGAGTTTTCCTTTTACGCATTGTGCTGGAATTCTATAACCTCGAACTTCGTGCATCGATCGAGTCGATCGATCATTGGACAACTGACGAGCTAACGGAAGACCTCTTTGAACGACGTACTGGGTGAACCGCAAGTTGGGTGCTAACTTTAGGACTCTTCACACGTTGGTCTGACGTTTAGGTATAGTTCGATTATTGAATTTGGGATTATGGGACTTTGGAGATTTTTAATTCTACGCCTCTGTATTTTAGGACGTTGGAATTATCAGAGTATGGAGTTAGAACTTTCATCTTTGGAGTTTAGAATCTAGATTGTGGATTTCAGGTCAAGAATTTTAGAGCTTTGGGACTCCAAGACAATGGATGGATTTTGGATGTTGAGACTTTGGGTCGTATGGATTTTAGATGTTGAGATTTTGGAACATGCGGAGTTTGGATGCTGAGACTTTGGGACATACATCAATTTTGGATATTGAGACTTTGAGGCGTTCATCAGTTGTGGATGTTGAGAGTTTGAGGCATTCATCAATTGTGGATGTTGAGACTTTGAGGCATACATGAATTGTGGATGTTGAGACTTTGAGGTTTACATCAATTGGGGATGTTGAGAGTTTGAGGCGTTCATCAATTCTGGACGTTGAGAGTTTGAGGCATTTATTAATTGTGGATGTTGAGACTTTGAGGCATACATGAATTGTGGATGTTGAGACTCTGAGGTTTACATCAATTGTGGATGTTGAGAGTTTGAGGCGTTCATCAATTGTGGATGTTGAGAGTTTGAGGCATTTATTAATTGTGGATGTTGAGACTTTGAGGCATACATGAATTGTGGATGTTGATAGTTTGAGGCGTTCATCAATTGTGGATGTTGAGACTTTGAGACATACATCAATTGTGGATTTTGAAACTTTGAGGCATGCATTAATTTTGGACTTTGAGATACCGATCTTTGAAACTGTTTAATTTTGTATTTTTAAATGTTGTGGCTTTGGACTTTGAGGTTTTAAAACTGCTGTCTTTAGAATTTGTTAATATTGTACGTCTAAACTTTACGACTTTAAACTTCATGGTTTTAGCTTTCTGACTTTTGGACTTTGGCCTTTTGAATTGTTTAATTTTGTATTTCTCAAATTTAGGACATCAAACATTGAAGTTTTAGGTTTGACACTTTCAGATTCTGAACTTTGGAATTGTTTAATTTTGTACATCTGAAATTTAAGACTATAGCCTTTGACAATATAGTTTCGTTTAATCTTGTACTTCAGAACTGTACATCTTTAAACTATGACGTTATAGCTTTGCTATGTTTGATTCCAACTTTGAAGCTTCTTGATTTTAAGACTCTAGCTCCGTATTTTAACATATACACTCATATATACTTTCCAAACTCCCAGATTGAAAAATTGCAAGTTCTATTTAACCTAGTTCTAACTTATTGTCAGATCTACAGACTTAGCTGCGCCACAACAACAGTCTAGCATAAAATGTTTTAGCATACTAACTTCACGTCGTCCGACGTTCCTACTGCGCTAAAGTATGTTCAATTTTTCCAACCATCTGAAGAAAATATTCCGACAAGAAAAGTAAATGTCGATCGTAGTTTGTTCCTCTTACTGTTTACTGCACGCCAATGTTGACGTTTCGTGTTTGATGATCGCGCAGGTATGGCAGATAAACGTTGGAACTCAGTAGGATGTCGTGAATGTTTAGAGAGCTTGCAAGAAATACTAGCTTGGTATAAGAGTTTGAAGGATGTTTGGATAAATGTTGGAACAGTAAAGTCGGTGTCTTTCAATTGCAGAATGCTTTGCGTCCCGGTGTAGCATGGGAACAATTTTTTCATTTTTGTACTGTTTGAATTGAAAATTGTATTAACTCTTTAACGGTTTCATTCGGATCTTTAAAACGTTTCAAGGTTTACATAGACAGTTTGGTTTTTGTATGGTTCATAACTTTTTACTTTAAAATTTCAATTTTTTTAAAGATTGTAGAGATCCTTTATGTTCACATATGAGATTGTTTTAAAGTTATAACAGATTGTGAGACATAGAGCTCAAAAATTTGTACGGATGTACGTTCGAAAGTTTGGCATAGTCGGTTCGGCGTCCTCGTAGTCGGTTTACACTATTCTCTACATAAAAATTTTTATTTCTACAACTTTAAAAATGGTTTTTAAAAGAAAAATAAGGGACACGACAAATATCTGTATGAATCTTTTAAAACAGCTTAATATTCATTTATAAAATTACGAGACGTGCACATACGAGATTGTATTAACCTTTTAACAAGTCCATTATGTTCCAAATCTTCAAAATGTGTAAAAATGTCCCTTTCAAAATGTACAGTTGGTTACTTATATCACCATTAAAAGTGACCTGGACTTATCTACATGAAAATTGTTAAGCATTCAGAAAAATAAGAAAACTAATTACAGGAGAATGAAGAAGTCAACAACCTTTCAAAAATTTGTCAAACACTTTGATATCAAGCTACGAAATTTTGTAACGAAAGCTTATTGGCAAAAATTGAGCTTTCCTAATTCGCAGAAGTTTCCGTTAATAATTGATCTCGTCCGAAGCGTTCGTTCCTTATTTCTGCGGTGATTTACATGCAACGAAAATATCCTGAAAACTCTTTCCCCGCCAGGGGCTACGGTTTCATGTACTTTTTATCCCACTTTAAGGCAGCCCGTTCTCCGACCAGCTTTTCTAAGTTTTCAGACAGATTCTGGCAGATTCCGTGCACACCTGAAACACCTGTCGTGCTTTGCACGTTTCAGCAAGTTTGCGCCAACGAGAATTTTGTCGATCTTTATATGACAAGATCGCTGTAAAAAGGGAAAAATTCTTGTTGAATAAAATATCAGTACGAAACAGTTTTCGTATAGTTGTTTAAAAAAGTGTGAGTCACAGAAGTTTCACCTTTTATTACAAATCTTGTCTGTCGTTTAAATTCCGCGTATATAGAATCTTTATCAAAGATAAACACTGACTGTGAAATAAGTAAAATTGTTAAGTGAACGAATAAGATTTTTCGGTAACAAAATGGCTGACGCGCCATCTACATGTGGCGTCATAGAACTGAATCAATTGCAAAATAAATTATTACGATCTTCATATGACAATTGTTTAAAAAAGCGTGTGTCGCAGAAGTTTTTATCTTTTATTACAAATCTTGTCTGTCGTTTAAATTCTGCGTACATAGAATCTTTATTAAAGATAAACACTAACTGTAATGTAAGTAGAATTGTTAAGTGGACGAATAAGATTTTTCGGTAACAAAATGGCTGACGCGCCATCTACAGATGGCGTCATGGAACTAACTATAAAATAAATTATTACCGGTTTTTAATTTGTTCTTCGATGTCTGCTCAAGTTTCACCTAGTGCCTCATATTATATTTCCTTCGGGACGTATCTATTTAAAGAGCATTAAAATGGTACGTCCCAATAAATTGGAAAGCTCATGAACAGCTCCCGGACACATAGAAACCTCCATCATCAATTTTCCTAATCACCTTCATCCCCGTCATCAGCAGTCGCTGATGATTCTACCGTGTTCTTTTTTTTCCTCTCTCATTCGCCGAGTTCGCGTCGTTTTCATAATCGTTACGAGTACATCGGCGTCCCAGGCGGGCCAAACGCGCAAGACAGCGTATTCTTTTCATTTAATTCCCGCGATGCTCCGCGAGCTGTTTAATGGATCCGCGAATACGGCAACAGCCACGCCAGGGAACGGTGTCCATTAACAAAACTGTCGCGAGATTTGGGCCAACTTCCAAGCGCGACGTATCGCCGCGATATATCACCGGCGAATTAATTAATGAACGCAGTATTTTATCGCGAGCCCGCGAGAGTCTTGACCTGCTCGCAACTGGCGTCGTAATTTTCCGACTAGACGAGATAGATGTCAAACGTTGATTCTGCTAGTTGTCATTGGAGATGGTCTTGTTTGTTGTTTCAAATAGTGGCTTTGGGATTTTGGTGTGTATCTTATTTAGTTCGTTGACTTCTGATGTTTCATGATTTTTGTTTTTTTTTTCATTTAATCATAGCCTATTTTTTGGGAGGATAAATGATAATTATGTAGCTGTGAATTTTACATCAGATATGTTCAAAATTTCTACATTTTGCACTACATTTTGAATTTAAATGTTGAACATTTCTATAACATAACCTAACTGTAATTTAATCACGACTTAACCATAGTCTAAACATGATGTAGCCATGTTCAATTAGCATCACCTCATCAGTAGCACCTCAATTAAGAACTACAGGATATTTCAAAATATTTGTACTATTTAGTCATGGGTTAATTCTGATCTAATCATAATTCTATTAATAATCTTGACACAACTTAACGTTAATCTATCAATAATTTATCCATGACTTATCAGTCACGTAACCTAACCTATTCATAATCCATCCAAAACGTAACTATGACTTAATCGTTGCCTTTCTCTCACTCTAACCTAACTAGGTTATGTCAGTCTTTTCAGAGGATTTTGATATAACTATGGTCTGACTATAATCTAACTCTGACCCCCTTCATAACTTAACCATAATCTAACCTTTACTGTAGTCATAATCTAACTATATCTATACTAGGATGAACTACACCTTACCTTGAGGACTATACCTAATCTATAATATATTCGTACTAACCTTAATTTGACCATTCTTAACCTTGAGTTATTTTTCAAAGAAGAATAAATTGTTGGCTCTGAATTTCTCTTTGCAGTCTTAGAGCCGTGAAGGAGCTTAAGAACCTTTCTTATAACCTAACCTTACCCGTAGTCATTCTCTAACCTAACTATAACTCTAACCTAACATGAATTTAGCTACACATACCCTCGATAAATTCACCTAACCTTAACCTTACATTTACAATGACTTATTTTTCAGAGAAGACAAAATTGTTACCTATGAATTTATAATCTAACCGTAATCTATAATGTAGCCGATTCTAATGTCTACAATCTAGCTGGTTAAATTTGAAATGGAATTCGAAGTATGGCAAAGG